GCATTTCGTTCATAGACCTCGAATTGGCTGTGTTTTCATCATGGATGTGACAAGTGCTTTGTGTGGTATTCATACTTTAAAACACAGTTTTAAATAATTCTGTTCCCCCCAGTCCCAGCTCTTAGACCCTCACTAAAGGACTGCTTGGAGATGGCGAAAGCTTCAAAACAGCCACGTGTTTTTACCACTTTTATTTATTCTCTGTGGCTTAGTTTGTATAGTAATAGTGGGGGCAAATATGGTGTGGAAAGGGTCAGATCAGGCGTGCGGTCTGACTGGTAAAACCTGGAAGATGTTTATGGTTTATGAATAGCTTTTACTCACTTAAAAAGACACGTTACTGCCGTACCACTGACAGTGGCAGACTGCAGAGCTGTACTGCTCTTTGAGATTCTTTCCGGTGAAGGCCAATTCCTCTCACTGACTCACTAATGATTATTTAACTAACTTCCTAAACGTCCTCCATGTCAACCTACTTCAAACTGTGATCCTGAGATATTATCTGCAAGGGCTTATAAGACTTTTTTTCCCCATGTTCTTTCTGAAAGTGTTTTAGCAGCAAAGTTCTGGCATGATGGTAGCCTGGTGCTGAGCCCTGCTTATGTCCTTGGTGTTAAACTGATCAGCAGCCTTGGGATCAAGAGGGAATTTTCCTGCAGGGCAGATGGGAAGGGGTAGTTGTTGGTTGAGGTTTCCCTTACTCATGATGCTTCTGAGAATTTTCCTTGCTTTTGAAGTGAGCAAGATGGTGTCAGTGTTTTCTGCCCCTCTCCCTCTGTTTTCTTCTGATGCGTTGCAGTCGTGGGTCTGTCTTTGTTAGCCCTCATGTTTATGAGGCATTCTCATGCTGCACCTGTATGTTATACAAAGAGCTCCCAAAATTTCTGAGGGCATGGGCATTGCCTGCTCCCAGGAGTATCATACCTTGGAAACCCTTAAAAGGAGGACCCCCCCATTTTGCCCTTGTTTGATTGTCTTTCTTGCAGGTGATCAGACATGTCTCCTGGCATCCTGCCATTCTGAAGGGTCCCCTCTCTGTCTTAGTTTAGCTCTTAATTTAGGTACTGCAAGTTTGGAGGTCATTTTGCCTAGAACTTCTGCACTCCATGGAGGGATTGCGCAACAGGAACTATTGCAGGGATGCCAGGTTGCTTTCTGTGGAGGGTTATTTTCTCTTCTGACCATCCAGGCAGCCCTGTGAGACCTCCTAGGCATCTTGCAGCCTCTGAAGTTACTGGCTACAAATACCTCACTCCTTTGTTATCTGTTTCCCAGTGTTTAATGACTGATTTTGCAGCGCTGTTTTAATGCTGCAGACTTCACATGCAGAACCAGAGAGCAATTGTGATTTAGTAGGTTAATTTTATGGCTGGGAAACAAAAATGTTTATTGTAACTCAGTGACATTAAGATATATTTTTAGAATATGAACTAAAAATAGCTGTTTCCAATAGAAACAGTGGGAATTAACATAGAAATAATGACGGACACGTGCCGCAGGAAAGGTATTGCTTTTGGCACATGTGGATGTACTAGTAGGTGTTTTTCCTGTGTCTCAAGCTGCAGTAGCTTACAGCATTACCAGTGCTCAGTTAGCAGCCTTTTTAACATGTCTTTTTTTTCTGCTAGTGCATGATCCACTTGTAGTTGCTCAATATTAAATTTTAAGTCAAGTGTGATTTTTAACATGTCTTTTTTTTAGTTGCTCAATATTAAATTTTAAGTCAAGTGTGTGTGTGGGCGGTGGTCGGGTGGTTTGTCTTGGGGTGGTGGTTTTGGGTTTTTTTGTTTGTGTTTGTTTTTTCTAAATGAGGTTTCTTTTGTAAGTTGGCCCCCAGGCGTGGTTAGAACCTTGTCTCAAAATTCACCCAGTGGAAGCTAAAAGTTGCTAGACTCTAGCAGCTGTTACATGCATAGTCTGCATTTCTGGCTGTCCATATCCTAGCAGGTAATTGTTTCTGTCAAGATCCATCACCCTGGGCACTGATTGACACATTTGCTGGCAGTTTCAGCAGAGAGGTCAGTGATGGAGTGGGTATGGAGCAAGGGCTGTCTGCAGGGGTGTACCGGTAGAGAGGGTTGATCTTTGCTAGGAGGCAGCCTGGGGAGTCTACCACCGCGACAGACCAAGTGCTTCTTCGTTACACGGACAGATCATTTCAGTCTCCAGTCTTGTCAAGCTGTCACCTTTCATCAGCAATAAATCTGCTTGCTAGATAAATGAAAAAGGTAATAAAACATTTTTATTAGTCATGTCAAATGCTTGTCTTAGGAGAAGTTGAGAAAATAATGACTTGATTGAAATATTTATTAAATCAAGTAATTTTTGAGGCATCTTTAAGACCTGAAGGTATTTTATGATATGATAAAACAATTGCATAATTCATGTTATATATTACACCTGTGGTTTAAGAAGAATATAAAACCATTCTCACTTTAATGTTCTTAATTTTAAGGCAGCCTGGCACTGCATGTTAACAGAATTTTTGTCCAATTTCTCAGTCTGCTCTCTCTTGTCAATGCCATCTGCTTGCTTGTTTTACCACCTCTTTAACAACCAGGTCATTTTTGCCATCTTCACCCTCCTCCTCAATATGCCCAGCAGTCCCATTTGGGTTTATGGGGTTAGTGTGCTAAGCAATATTCATATGTTTATGTAAATGTGTTCCCTATTCTGAAGAACTCTTTCTCCATTTCTAGTTCAATAGCTTCTAAGTCTTCCAGCATCCTGGCTTACAGCGCTGAATTGTTTTACTGTAGTCTAATCTGCCTGTTACGCCAGCTGGTTTTGTTGATCTGTAATGTATTCATTTATGCAATAGGTTCTACTCTAGCAAAGCACTTAATTTTAAGTGTGCAGGTAGACTTGGTGAAAAGAATGTGATTAGCTCAAAGCCAAGCACCTGCCTAAATGCTTTGCTGGATTGGAGACTTAGGAAAGAGAGGAAAAGATTGGTCTAACTATGCTGAATGTGTTTTAGAGCTGCTTTATCCTAATACACTTATCACCAGACCAACCTCTGGTTATGGATACTCAATGTAGAAGATTTCTCATGGGTCGCCAAGCTTTTCTTTTAACTTCATAGTTTTCTAGATCTCTCTCCTGTCTTTGCTGAACTATAATCTTAAGCATGGTTTGCATAAGAAAATTTATCTCTGCCTCTTAGGAAGTAATTTTAGGGGAGCCGTGTCTTAAAATAATGGATGTAGAAGGCAATGAAAAGCTGGTGTCACCAGCTCATTTGATTTTTGCATGTATGAGGAGAGCAAAATATTTATACAAGTCCAGACTGCGGTAGCCCACAGAATAAATGTGGCAGTGAGACCAGATCAGTGAAAAAGGAGGAAAAAGATAAAATGAATGACACAAGGGTTAAATTCTGCTCTGCTATTAATTTGGGCTAGGCCAGTATTAGAACTATTGGGAAAAAAAGGACGTAAACTACTGAAAATGAAATCTGAAGAAAAGATGTACATGTATTTTTCCAGTTCTAGCTCTTACCTGCTGGTGTTTGTCTTTTTCCATTCCTCAAATCTGTGTGCCCTCACTCCCACAGATGCCAGGGGGATTTGCAGGACTTAGTTTAAGTCACGGTAACTGTAAAACTGCCCTAAATCCAATGTTACAGGAATTGCTGCTACTGCTTTCCCAAGTCAGAACTTAGCTGGACTGGGTTTTTGCTTTCGCCGCTGCTGCGTGGCCAGGGCATGAGGCATTGCCGGCACCAGAAAGCCACACAGCCCCAGGTGTTTTCAAAGAAAGGGACATTTAATGAGACGTCTTTGCACGCCTTTCCTCTTCTGCAGTGTTTAGCTTGGATGTGTTGTCATTTCTGAAGCCGTAACAAGCTCCTTGTGGAATTCATACTGTGAAGTTTCCTGTGTATTATTTTTCAGAGGCAAGGCTATACTATGGTTTTCTTTCCCCCCCCGTTCCTCTCTACGTGAGCTTTTGGCATCTTTATCAAGGATGGCACTTGAGCAAATGCTCAACTTGATTGCGCTGCCTAGACTCGAAGATAGAAATGGGCTTAGGCACTCTTGAAAAAGTATGAACTGAGGCAGATGTTTAATGCTTTCTAAGAGGCAAACCAAGTAAGTGCTTTCTCAGAAAGATTATTCATAATTGGTTTTTACTGTATATATCATGATTGGGAGATGGAGGGAAAAAGGAAGAAATAGCTGCATAGTAGTAGATTTGTAACAACTTCTCATGTTTGTGGTTACTTGCCACCACGGTGTCTTTAGCTGAATGCAGCCTGTACATAGGGCAATACAGGGTCCCAGGGTTTTGCCTTCATTCTTCTTTTTAAGGGGCATGTGGCTTCCGGCTCTGTGTGCAGCTCTGTCCTGCCTTGCCGTGAGCCTTCGGTCACTTTGCCTCTCTTTGTCTCTTTCCTTCTGTGCCTGTTTAATTTACAAAGGCTAAAAAGGTGGTGACTGGCTCCTGCTCTGTGTTTGACCCTGCCTGCCAAACCTAGGGGACTTGCTGCCCACTGGCATGTCAAAACATTTGTGTAATACAAATAATTATTAAGAAATTTCTATTTTGCCACCTAATCAACTGCAACTTGAGACTCTCAATGTGTTTGAGACTGACTGACCGCTCCACCACCAGTACGAGTAAGGTCTGAGAGGTCTGAGGGTGCTTTCAGGTTCTCTGCATTTGACATTGCGGCAGCTCAGGTGCCAGAGACTTGGGCTCACCCTGTGGACACTGTTGTGTGTCCCTGGAGTGTCTCAAGGCAAAAATTCAGATAGAAGCATGTCGTTCCAGGGCAGCCTTGGAAACACTGGGTTGATGTCCCTGCAGCTTTCATGCAACTTGGGCAGTCTTCCATCTGCCTGCCAGCGCGGGGTTCACATTGGTTTTGATAGTACATGAGAATGCAAGTGGATCAAGGCATTGGTCTGGCGCGTACTGCGAGCTACGTTCTCAGCTATGAGGCTACATGCATAGTGCTTTCTGCCTAACATGAGTTTTCTGTTTGTCTTTTGCAGCACTTTTACAGGCAGTCGTAGCTGGTGACCTGCTGAAGGTAAGTACAGAGCACCAAGTGTCCACTTTTTCACAGCTTTTTGCAGGTCTGATATACTGTAAATTTTATCACACCTCTGCTGAAAACATAAATAGGCTGCTGTAGGGACTGCTGGCAAGTGCTTTTTAACAGTCTTTCCAGGAAACCCTGAATATTAGGGGAACACATCAGTCAGGTGAGATGTGAAATTTGAGTGAATAGGATCTGGTGTTAGACAGCACCTTTCAGCCCAGGATTCATAGCGCACCGCCCAGAGCAACGTGTCAGGTACTAACAGGGAAATCACTGCACTGGCAAATGCAGCATGGAACAGCGGGGTAGCTCTGACACAGCCTTACACAGTGAAGGATATTTTAAGGCAGCGAGGTTGGTGGGCAAGCCCCTAGAGTTGCTGGAGACTTCTTAACTTCTACCTAGGCAGCCACCAGAGCAGGTAGAACAAACTTCAGCTTGTTGTTTTATCGTTTGATGGATGTCTTGAAACATGTAGTGTCTTGGTATTGTTAGTTATGGGGAGCAGAAGGCACCCATGCAAAAATGTTTTGTGCCCAAAGTCTGAAGTTCTATGTCTGGCAGTTATTCAGGCTGCATTTTTCCGTAGCCAAGTCAGGGTTTGAAAACATGCCCTCGAATTTGGATGAGGACTGTGATTAATGATTGCAATTTTATCTGCGAGAAGCCAGCTTGGAGCCATTTGTAAAAATGACAGTACTGTTAGGCCAACTCTTTGCCTGCAGGTGTGCCTTCTACACCTCCGCCCCTGCGCTTGCGGCTGCAGCATCCGGGGAGCAGTCCCTCAACCAGCAGTCATGAAAATATTGTCTCCTTTCTGCTTCTTGAAAGCCTTTTGCCTGCGTTTGCTTTGACAGGGAAACGTCTTGCCCTTCTTCAGATGTACGGCATCATAAATGATGCCCCACTGTCGCAATCCTCTCTCCCTCTTTTCCGCAATGATCTGCACTGCAACTCCCCCTCCCAGAGTCTGCAGCATTTCTGAGACCCAGCTGGTTGCTGTTCCCTGCCTGTTCTTACCCCCATGTAGTGCTTCCCCCTCCACCAGCCCTGGGCAGGGGGGCAGAGGGTGAGAAGGGAGATGTGGGGCAGCTGTACCCCACCTCTCGGCGGATTTCTGAGTTGGGATTTTCTGGTTTAGTCACAAAGTGCTAAACTTTGTCTCCTGTGCTGAAGAAAAATTGGAATTTTCAGTAGAGAAGCCAGAATTTTCTGTCAAATACATCTATTTTAAAATATCCCAACAGCTTCACCAGAAGTGGTGTGCAAGCATTGCTAGCAAGCAATAACTCATCACCAGTAGAGTAGCAATGTCTTATTGTTTAGGAAATACAGACTGCTCTTCTTAACCCATATAATTGTCAATACTTCTAGGTTCAGATATTTTTTCATTGGGGCCTGAAAATTGGCTTTAAAGTAATATTTTATTTCATTTTATTCCATTTTTGTACTGACCTCCTATGAAAATTAGTAAATAATTTGCCTGCATATTTGTCTTTCTGCCCCTTCCATCTTACCCTTCTGTGTGTTTTTGTTTGGTTTGTTGTTTGGTTTTTTTTTTTTCCCCAGTTCATAGAATGCTGTAAAAAAGGAGCCAATTTGTTAATCCAAGGACCTGATCACTGCTCCTTGTTGCACTATGCTGCCAAGACTGGGCATGGAGAGATTGTGAAATACATCCTGGAGCATGGTGAGTCACAGTGGGCAAAGCACAGAGCGAGCCGTGCTTCAGCCAAGGGTCGGTCAGGTAAAACCACACCGTGCGGCTGGAAGTGTCCTCACTCATCTGTGGTCACCCTCAGCAAAATGTCCACCTGCAGCATGTGTGAGCAGGAGGCTAGGAATGTGGTAGCAATGACGATGATGGCTGCAGATAAAGGGAAAATGTGGCAACAAAAATAAAGATGGCTTTTGAGGAGGGTGCATGTTTTCACAGTTGCATCAGTTGGGGGGCTGTGAAGAAGCAGTGTGGTGCTCGAGATGGAACCTCTGGCATAGGAATCCTCTGAACTAATCTGTTTTTCCATTCGAGCATATGTTGTAGAAAGCATCTAATCTCCATTAAAGCATTTACAGGGATGGAGAGCCCATCCACCCATTGGTATTATTTCAGTATTTACTAACACACTGGTTAGGAATCTGCATTTATGTCTAGATTGGATTTCCCTATCTTCCCTTCCAACCTTCCAATATTATGTGTCTGTTAGATTTGAGACCACGCGATAACAAAAATTTATGGTCTCCGTTTTACATTTGTAGGCTGTGATCATGCCATTTGCCTCTTTGCTTTTGAATCTTTTTGTCTTTGTCAGTAACAGGATTGTGGGCATGCTAACACAGGTTATGCAGCAATTTGTGTGTGTAGATACTTTTGAGGCAGTCACATTGAGGAGTTTCTGCCTGTTGAAGTACTGTAATCTTGTTTACTGGTTGCTGGAAGTGGTACAGTAATGTCACTGCCCTGCACACAGAGCTAAAGTCCCAGTGATCAGCCTCCTGCACTGTAGGAAATGTTTTCTAGTCCTTTAAATATTCTTGTAACTCTTCTCTGATACCTCTTCAAAATATCAGTGGCTATTTTGACCTCTGGATGTCAAAATCAGCTATATTATTTCAGCAGCAGTGTTAGCACTAAACGCAGAGACTGCCTCTGGCAATTGAACTAAGTGTTAGCTAGTGCTCGAAAGTTACTGCAGAACTTTTAGAGAGAGGAGAAGAAAACATAACTCATAGGAAGGTAAGAGGCAATAATCCATCTGTTAACATTGTGTTAATTAGGGTGGGATTTAGCTCGAGCTTGACTCCTGAGTTTAGGTGTTTGCCTATAGGTGTTGTGTAATCTCTGGGTCTAAGTTCCTGCCCTGTCAACAAGGATCCACGCAATTCATTTGCTCCTGTATGACAAAGCTACTGGAGAAGACCTGTCCTCTTTCAGTGACAAGTGGAAGTGAGGAGGCCACCTTAATTAGCAGCAGACTTCTAGCATGACTAGCTCAAGGGAGCCCCTAGTCAAGGTGGTCATTGCAGCCCAGCAAGCGATTCAGCTGACAGTTTCCTGCGCGCTTCAGTCATATGGCTAAGCGTAACCATCTAACGTCATTTGCCCTTGGATATCCACGACATCTGCATGGGTCTACAAGATAACATACAAGGCCTGCAAGGAGACCCATACTGGACTGGAAGTTGGAGCCCAAGCAAGCATCATTCCAAATGCATCCCAAGACCTGCCTGTAGGCATATCAAGTGGCACAAAATATCTGTGTGTAGGCAACTGAACTGTGGCCCAGCTACCTGACTGAGGGGGTCTGGATGGCTACTTTACTCTTTTATGCATAGATACCTACACAGGGGTAGCTAAGTGTAGTTGGCCTTATATCCAAAATTGTCTAGCTTTCTCCCCAGTTGTTAACAAGTCTTACCAGTGCTAACTTTAACCTTCTCTTTAACTTCTCTGGATTACCTCATTAGTCAGATTGCATATATGTGCCTCTGAATTCTGTAGACAGACATCATTTCACTTAATTTTCTAACTGCCTCCGGTCTCTCCTCACGGTGCACGACCTTTGCCAATTCACTGTCATGGCTGCCTCTCCAGGATTTTTCTTAGGCACGTATTCCTTAACTTGCTCACAGTCCAACTCAGTTTACCATTCCTTTGATGAAGGTTTAAAATGAGATCATTTAAGCTGATAAGGATGTGAGAAGGGTATCTATGGGATTTTTTGAAGTGAATAGAGAAATGCGAGGGATTATAGACCGTTAGGCAAAGACAAACCAGAAGGTTGAGCAAATGTACGCTCAGTTCCTCTCTCTCCCATTTATCCCCAAGGATGGCGGGAAGCTTTCGCAGCTTTCCAGACATACGTCCTCTGGGCTTCTCCAAATGCATTGTTTGTTTAACATTCTCTGGGGATCAGAGGGTGCATGGACAATGCCCTAATAGGGGCCTCCTCTCTTCTCCCACCAAGCAATTAATGAAACTCGTTTCTACCCTGGGCACTTCTCAGTCACAAACGAGCTCTCTTGCTGAATCATCATCATCATAATGTCCTTGTTTTTCTGTTGTGTTCTCTGGCATCTGGCATCTTCTCAACATTAATTAGTGTATGAGACCCAGTCCAACACTACTAATATCTGAGGCTTTCCCTGTATCTAGCTTCTCGTTTCTGCTGATATCCACCCGCGATAAAAATGGCTCTTACTCCTATTCTAGCAATTACCTCTGCCCAGCCATACTTCTTCTGTTGTTTGTCTGCTTCCCATACGTGGCTGGAGACAGTTGATTTTAATAAGAGTTCCACTGCAAAATACCCTCCAGCACTCAGCACAGAAAACCTATTATTAATCACACAGGGAAAAATCTTCTGAATAACTTTAAAAACCAACAAAACCAAAACAAGGCAAAACCCATCATACTGGGAATTTTAACTGCCTAGTGTGAAACTAGTGGGGTGAATCGAACACGATACAGGAGTGGGAATCTCACCCTGCCCATAGCTCTGGGATTATGAAGGAGAGAAAGTGGTGTAGTGACGCTGTGACTGTCCTTTGTGGAGGTGGATTTATGCTTTCTGCAAACATGCAGGGGACACTAATGTGAGAGTTTATTCTGTCATCTTGATTGGAATGATTTTGGATGTTAAGGGGAGGAAAATAATCCTTCTTAAATTAGAGAAAGCAGAGATGAGCCTGTCATGGTTTAACCCCAGCCAGCAACTAAGCCCCATGCAGCCATTTGCTCACTGCCCCCCAGTGGGATGGGGGAGAGAACTGGAAGAGCAAAAATGAGCATACTCATGGTGTGGTAGAAAGACAGTTTAATAGGTAAAGCAAAAGCCACACATGCGAGCAAAGCAAAGCAAGGAATTCATTCCCTACTTCCCATGGGCAGGCAGGTGCTCAGCCGTTCCCAGGAAAGCAGGGCTCCATCACAAGTAACGGTGACTTGGGAAGACAAATGCCATCACTCCGAATGTCCCCCCCTTCCTTCTTCCCCCAGCTTTATATGCTGAGCATGATGTCACATGATATGGGATATCCCTTGGGTCAGTTGGGGTCAGCTGTCCTGGCTGTGCCCCCTCCCAGCTTCTTGTGCACCCCCAGCCTCCTCGCTGCTGGGGTGGGGTGAGGAGCAGAGAAGGCCTGGACTCTGTGTAAGCCCTGCTCATCAGGAACTAAACCATCCCTGTGTTATCAACGCTGTTTCCAGCACAAATCCAAAACATTGCCCCATACAAGGTACTACGGAAAAAATTAGCTCTATCCCAGTCAAAGCCAGCACAGAGTCACACAAGGGAGACTGCTGTGCTGTATTGCCAGATACTTAGCAGAGGACTATCACGAGCCTGGAATAGCAGCTGAAGCACCAGTGTAGTCGGTGTCAGGCCGACAGCTGCTTACTGCTGCAGGAACAGTTGTGTTGGCTGCTGTTCCTCCAGAACAGTTTCTCTCTCTCCCCTGTGCAGGAAGGGCAGATCCACAGACCTCTATGTTGTTCGGGACTGCCTTCCTAAATAAGGGGTCTTTTCCTTGTAGTAGGAGGGTCATCTTTTAAGATCCACCTAAGGAGCGCTTAGCTTGAAACTGAGGGCCAAACTCAGCAGGTATCAGAACCACATCTCTTTATTGCTGCAGTCAGCAACTGTCTCACACCCTAATGCATACGCATTACAGAAGAGTTAACTGTTTACTTGCTTAACACAAACAGAATTAGGGAAGTTTTAAGAAGCTCCATTAGAAAAAAGACCTCCTAAATCATCATTTGTATTTGGAATCAAACTCGGCTTGGAGTCTCTATCTGGCAGTTCTGAACTATTTATAATTTATAACTGCTATACAAGGCATTCCAAGGTTTGCCTTCTCCTTGTCTTCTCTTCTCCAGGGGCTCAAAAGACAAGAATTCCGTCGTTCATCTAGGGTATTTTAATTTTAATTTTAAACAGAAGAGAAGAAAGATGTTTACAGTTGCCTTAGGAGTTTTTGGTGGGAACTTCTGATGGAACAGTCACTCAGTAGAGCATCGTATCCTGTGACCTCAAACCTCAATGTCCTTGCTCCATTATATACCATCCTCTGGTAAAAAAAGATGATGCTTTCGTTACTCTTAGTACTACAAAGTCAACAGTGAAGAGCCATCACTGAGTTTCGACTTGCATCCTGACCAGATGTAGGAGTTCCAAAGAACGCTTTTGGAAAGCAAATTTTGCTGTGACAGAGATGTATGTCGGGGACAAAGTTTGAATAACCATAAGAAAGCAACACTGTAGGAGAGTGAGTTTGCCTGACATATGTAAGTATGTCTAGATCTGAAGAATGTTTTAGGGTAGCGAACATTTGTGAGGGACCTAAACAGAAACCAGCTCAGTTTTCCTAGAAGGCACGAGGTATAAAATGGTCTATTCTGATTTGCAAGTTTACCAAATTTTATGTCAACATGGCTGAGAGACAGTTACAATGGAAGGTGTGCTCCCATAACCTGACTACCTTCTATGTTACAGTGGAAATTCTGAGCTAAAACACACTAGCAGTAAAAATCAGGCGCTTTCAATCTTCATGTTGGGTAAAAATGATGAGTGTGGAGTTGGAGGAAGGCTTGAAATAGCTCTGACTTTGCAGATTACGATTATTTTAAAAATATTTCCTCTTTGAAGGCAAGGAACCAAATCCATTTTTGTCCCCCGGACAACAACCTCAATCAAGTTATTAGACAAAGAGGACTTAGACAGATAAACACCCAGAAATGCTCAAAATCTCCAACATTACTGCTTAAAGCAATATCCGCCTTCCCCAGTTCTGCGAAGGACTGATGGGACAAGGGACTGGCAGGGGTTAATAGCTGTGTGTCTCCTGTGGGTAGCTGTAACCACATCCACTGGAGAAGGCAGGGTGTGCTGCAGGCCTGGAGGCCTTTCGAACTGCATGGTGCTGTATATTTTGGAAATGCCTCTGAAATATGGTCATTTAGTCTCTCTTTTATGTTGTAGCGAGCTCAGCTAAAGGGCAGCTGCTTTTGAACATCTCCTTCCCTTCCCTCCTCCTGTCCCCAGCTCAGGCTGCTTTGCCTCCTGAGAAACCGGAGAGGGGCTTTGGTGGAGTGAAAGAGGGCAGAAGGAGAGAAGGAAAAAAGTTAATAATTCTACACAGACAGTCTATCGGAGACGTTAAGGAAAGAAAGTGATCTCAGCTGGGCTTCCCCTCAGTGCGTCATGCTTTTCAGCTCCTTTCATGCAAACTTCTCCCCCCCTCCACCCTGACATTCTTTAGCCCCTGAGTCGCTCTCTCTCTTTCTCTCTCTCCTTTTTTTTTTTCCCTCCCTCCACCTCTCCACACATTTCTATCTTTTGTTTTTATTTCCCCCCTGCTGTTTTCCTTGATAGAAATCTCACTCATGCATTTCCCTTCCGGATTTCTATTGGGTTATTTTGTCCTCTCTCTCTCTGCGCCTTGGTCCCCTTTTCTTTCTCTGCCTCTTGTCCCAGAGTAAAACAGCCGCCTCCCCGCTGGGTCAGGATGACAGTGCTGTTAGCTTTCCCAGTGCCAGCCCTTCCCACATCTGTGCAGCTTTTGTCCCGGGGCAGAGGGGGATTTGGAATGGTCGGTTGGCAGCGCCAGGGAGACTGATGTAAAAATGAGGTCCAAAAAAGAAGGGAAAGGGAATTAGGAGGAGGGCGTGAGATGGTTTAAGAGAAGCACAAGTGAAAATAAAATAAAGAAGTAAAGGGCGCAGCTCAGGCTGTGTGTGAGTTGGAGCTTCAGAGATAGGCTTGAAAGAATGGAAGGAATGAATCCTGGCACCACATCGTGCTGCTAATCGATTAACCCCAATATCTGGCACTTCTGTAGGACTGGGATAGATTTGGGGCACTCCCATGAAATGCTTTATGTGGGGCAGTATCCAGGGGAGCACCCTGCACCCACGGGCAGGACATACCTGGCACCTCCTGAAGGTCGCAGGCTGCCCGCTCGGTCCTCAGCAAGAGCTCTGCTCCTCTGCCCTAGCCTTGCGGCTGCTTCCTTCCTGCTCCAGAGCAGCTTTCCTTCACCCTTGGCTTCCCATCTCTCCAGATCCCATTCTGCCCCAGCTTCTCTTCCCTCTCAGGTCATATTCTTCTAACTTCTCTCCATCGTTCCTCCTAATGTTTTAACACCTTTTTCCATTTGCCTCCGCTTAGCAGGGCAAGTACCTCTATGCCCAATGTGGCCAGGCCAGTCACCCTGTCCCACCTTTGCATCACAGCATTTCTTGTCCCGTCCATGAACAGAACCAATAGTTTACCTGGCAGTGTCTTTTCCAACACACTGCAGCCATTCCTGGTTACCTATCACTGGGATGTGGTGTTGCAGCAAGCCATGGATAATTTCCTCTCTTTTGAGAGGACATGATTTTCTTTCCTCCTGGGAGATGTAATGGAGTCTTTTTGTTCATCTGTTAGGTTTCTTTTTCTTTTTAGTTTCTCATGCATTATTTTTCTTTCTTCTCAATGAGGGGCCCTGCTTAGCTCCCTGTATCCTTCTTCGTGCTTATGGGAGCTCAGAGGTTGTGAGCGATTCTTCTTTTTGATGGGGAGGATTGAACACGTAATGGCCAAGTGAAAAGATGAGGATGCGTGGCAGTAGAGTCAGGATGCTGTGCTTTAAAAATCAACAGGGGCTAATGAGTTTGGAGAACTGCCATGATAGGTGTGCAATGCCCTGTGCACTGGGGACTAAGCTTTTTTGACCATCGCTTTCTCATGATGACAGAAGACGAAGTTAAGGAGCTACCTGCAGCTCCTGGAGCTGAGGCAGCAGGCTGCCCCGATGATACTGTATGTGTATGTTGTAAAAGGAGTGAGAGAGGCTGCTCTGGTCCATTTTGACACATGCTCGGAGTGAAAGGAGAGTAGAGAGGTTGTGTGTAGGCCTTTGTAAGCAAGGAGTGTGAAATTCCTCAGTTTCAGGTGAGATTTGCTGTAAGCTCTTGAGGACTCTTGAATTTCAAAGTCAAAGTGTGCTGAAGAGAAATATTCATGCACAGGAAGGAAAATTCCTGTAAAGTTTCACTGTTCCCCTTGCTAACTGCCCCATACCATCTGGCACTACGCTCCAGAGCAGTGGAGAAAAGAATAATAAGCCAGACTGCAAAGGGAAAAGTTTTTTCTTGTTTCAAGTGCTATCCAGATCCTAGCCTTTCCATATCACTGTAATTCAGTGATGGAATTTGCTGCTATAAACATCTGCCTGTAGTGAGTATCAAGGACAAAAGAACATTAGCTTAAATGCATTATTTTGCCCCACTTAACAAAAATCTTTTCTGTTTTTCTTAATCTTACTTTCCTGATCATTGCTAACCAGTAGAGTACAGGATTTGCATATCAATATAAAGACCACTGGGAATATTCCACCCTGATCTACATTCTGTATAACTCTATTAAATGGAGTAGCACAGGGATGTCATTCAGGACGGAATTTGGCTAAATTCAACTTCCTAATGACATTTTCCCTCTAGTACTAACAATAGATTTTAACTTGCAATATATGAGGGTTTCCAGTGTATCAGCATTTTCAATGCACTGTACTTACGTGAACCACTTAATTGAGCAAGGTGAAGAGTGAGAAAATAAACTCCATGAATATTCATTCCCGGTATAACTTAGAGGCTGCTACTCCCTGGTGCTGACACTCCAGCAGTGACTCTGTGTTCAGAATTTTGCTGGTGCAAGGGCTTGCACAAGCAAATATTACCTTGAAGGCTGGCATATTTGTGCAAATTGAGCTTTCAGTTGGCTTCTTTTACATATTTGCACCAGGAATCTCCTCCTGGTAGTCGTACTCTTCTAGCCATGCAGAAAAATGCTATGTGACATACCTGCCTGTCTTTTGCAGGTCCATCTGAATTACTGGACATGACAGACAGTGAAACGTAAGTACAACCTACCCCGCCCTTCACATTATGTGCATTAACCTCACAGACTTCTCTTGTTTTTTAAGTGCAAACTTTCAACTAAAAAGCTTGTAAAACGGTGCATCTCTTAAGAAAACAAACAAACAAACAGAAGTCCCCCCTAAACCCAAACAACCACCTCGTATGTGGTGTTCTGGCCTAACACAGATGTTTCTTGAACTCCAAGAAGACTTACTCTCTATTGCTTCCTATGCCTCATTAATCTTTCTAGAGGAATACAAGTCCTGCATTGTGTTTTGATGTTTCCAGAATCGAGTTACCGAGGAAGCAACCTGAAGGGTAAATTCCAGAAATCAGGAAATTACTTTTCTTGCTCTACACCTTTTCTTCATTCTCTTCTTGATTCGTCCAGAGTGCTCAGCCTTAGCTGTCCCAAGTGGCCACAACCCATGCAGTCAAAGATTTATCTTGAGAAGTTAGAACCTCGATCACCTCTGTTACTATGAAAAAAAAGATTTTACTTTCCAATTCCCTACTGCTCTACATATTTTTGTATAAGCAAGGTGTCACAAATAGTATATAAGCATGAATAACCCTGGGAAGTATATGGAATATATGGGAAGCAAAAGTAACCTTCCCCATAGGGGTTAAACACACCATTCCTCATCCCACATTGCCCTCCTCTGCTAACTGAGAATGCCAGAAAGGTGCTGCACAAGGTGCATGTGTGCAGTCCAGGGGTGATGGAGTATGGATGGACTGCCTGGTTCTCTTCATGCAGTAGCATAGCACAGCCACTGAAATAAAGTGCAAGTGAGCATGGCTATGAGGGCTTCCCTTTACAAAGGTTCCTCTACCACTAATTCTTGAAAATGGGAGGTTCAAGCTGTAACTGGCAGCATGAATTTGTCTTTTGATCCACAGGCGGAAATCAGATAGTATCTCATACTCAATGTAGTTCTCCTGCAGCAGAGGCAGATTCATTACAAGGCTGTCTATTAATATTTCAACCTACCTGGTCATGGACTGAGGCTGAAATTCCTTTATGCACTCTCACTCTCACAAGATTTGCCCTACTACATATATTTCTTGTCATTTGTTATTCTGGAGTTTATGTAATGGCCCTACTTGTTGGACACTAGTATTAAGGACACCTTTTCAACCCACTCAAAGCATACATTCCTTCTCTTCCTAGGCAAATCTAGATAGGTTTCTTCAAGCTTGGTACTACAGTCAGTCTCAGAATCCTGTTACATGTAGCCCCAGACTGAGTGAGGAGCTTTGCAATCAATCTGCTCCCACTACACAGCCTTCTGTTTTGAAAAGCATGTGTTCAAGCTTCCCCAGTAGCTCACCAGTCCAGTGGTGGAAAACAAAACCGCAGCTCTGGCTCTCATACATCCAAGAGGGCAGGGTACCAGAACCAGGGCAGGGTATCAGAACCAGGGCAGGGTATCAGAACCAGGGCAGCAAGTGCACTGGTCATGACTTTGATGGGCAGGATTTTTCTAGGTTGCGTCCAAGAATGAGGTTGAGGAAAGAAATTGCAGGAAGAAACAAACACTGTTGCTGTTTTGCCTGCTGTGAAATAAGAAGGTGGCTGGTTTGCCTTTGCAGCAGTTGGCAGAACTTGTGGTTGGATGGAAATGTGACATTCAGTCCTTTGAATGCATAAAACCTGTGCAGGCTTCTTTCCCACCCCTCAGAAGTTCTTCATCTGCTATTTGTGCATTGCAGGCTTTCCTACTGAGTCAAAGGATGTAGATGCTAAGGGAGAGTGCGCAGGCCTACATCTGCCAGCAAGAGGGAACCTTGCAGAAATACAGCATCCTTCTCTGTCTGTCCTCTGCACCTCATACTTCACAAATGTACATTGGTACGATGTGTCTCACTGCTGGTTTCTGTACTTTGGTCTAGGGGTGAGACAGCATTACATAAGGCAGCCTGCCAGCGCCATCGTGCCGTCTGCCAGCTCCTGGTGGATGCGGGAGCCTCTCTGAGAAAGACGGACTCCAAGGTAACCCAGCCCCATCAACCCGTTATAAAACACTGCAGCCAAGCGAGACTGGTCAGCATCCGTCCCTGCTGTGTGTATGATTGAGGCTTCCTTGTGTGTGCCAAGAGCAGCTCTTTTTGAACAAGCTATTTTTATTTAGAAAACTGTATTGATTTAAACAAGTACAAGAGACTTCATTTCAGTCCCCAACGTGGGTCATCTTCACCACAGTAAGAGCCTGGCCTATCCGGTGCATTGGGTGTGAATGAGGCATCTCCATGGCACAGCAACATCCTCCTCCTGTGTGGTCAAAAGAGAAACCTGTGGGCAAGGACCACCTGGGAGAGCCTTGGTGCATGATTGCGTAGCATCTGCGAGGCTCGATTATTGTGGCTGACTTGCTTTGTGAGAATGGCTAACCATTTTCTTTTGCCCTCACTTGCCCCTGTGCTCACTGATGCGACATTAACCACAACCCTCTCTCGGGGTACGCTTGTCTGAGAAAGAAGTCTGGGCAAAATTAAGCCCTACGATTATCCTGTCAATAAAACAATCTGATCACTTGGGAACATGGTCCAGAAGTTGCCCCTCTGGCATTTCTGAACATAAGCATCCTGTGGCCAGCAGCTGAGAAGTGGTTGGATTTCTGGGTTCCAGAGTCAGAACACCTCCACTGCAGCAAGGCAATCAAAACCAATTCCTACCATGTAACGCTGTATGGGGTAGCCTGTAAGGGGGAGAGAGATCATCTCTTTTTCAGGTGAGAGTACTGTATATTGCAAAAGATAATTTCTTGCAACAGCTGAAATCCAGACAAGTGCTTTCTGACTTGTTAATCCTCATCTGCCCAGAAATCCAAGGAGCAGGAGTGGTTTTGTGGAGATACATTAACGTGTTTTCAATATTTTCTCATAGTTTAGCCTCAAGCCTTGTAGTCCCATTTAACAGTACTCTTAAGATAGCTCAGATAATGTAGTAGCAAATTGATGCACTGAAAAATTATTTGTGCTTGAGATAGAATGAGGCACGTTGAACTCATCTCAAATGTTGGGTGTCTCTGCACATCCTTAGCAAAGTGTGTAGCCTGTGAAGCGCACTTTTCAAGTGTTAGCCACAGTACTGTGCATCATATTCATTCCCATAGGGATTGCAGCCCTAGGATGAAAAATCAGTTCCTTCCAGCATGTGAGCCCTTTTGTGTGATGTATCGAGTAACATGCCCTTGCAGAACTGCATGATTTGTCCTAAACCACACAAGGACTTTGAAAATCTTCAGAATCTCATGACTCTGGTAGAAAAACCTGAATTAACACCAGCTTGTGCAACAAATAAGTAAATTCTCCAAATTTGCTTCTATCCTTCCTGTAGTAATTTCTCTGGGTTGTGCTTTCATCTGTTCTTCTAAATATGTTAGCACAAGATTTTCTCTTTGTGTTTCTTTATTATAGGGTAAGACCCCTCGTGACAGGGCTCAGCAAGCTGGTGACCCAGATCTGGCCTCCTACCTGGAGAGTCGACAAAACTACCAAATGGTTTCCCATGAGGATCTGGAGACAGCAGTCTGATGCCTGAAAACGTCAAAGAGGATCCTTGGAAATCACAAGGCTGCACCTGAGGCACTTGGGCATCGTGTGAGGAAGAAGCTGATGGAATCGACATGTTTCTCACTCTCATGGAAAATACCTGAGGACATGCCACCAGTTTCTAAGGGCTACTGAGTCTTGCCACGGAACAGTTACGTTCCATAAGTTAGCCCATGATGGATGAGGCGGGACACACAAAGGTCTGTGGAATCCATGGGCCACGGAAATTTACCTTTATTGCTTCCAGCAAGTAGCATGAACTTCTCCCATGTTCATCTGTACAATTTATTTAAAAAAAAAAAAAAAGGAAAAAGAAAAGAGGGTTGGGGGAACCAAACTAACTGGGACATTAAAATACCCAACCAGACCCTCCTCCATCCCTACAGTTTCCTGCATTCCTTTTATTCTCCCGTTCCCCTCACTTCTCATCAGTTAAATAGTACCTGTTATCTCTGTGTTAAGTCTTCACAAATGGTCAGGCAGTAGCAAAAAATTTGAGGAGCTCTGGATGCCCGTAGGAAAACCCAGCATTTTTACCAGCTGCACTCCCTCCCTTGCCGTCCTCTCGGAAGCTGCGTCCTCAGTGCTCAATCACCAGGGAGTTTTCTCACTTTTGGAGAGGACTCTGCCTATCGCCTTGTTTCGCAGGGTGTGGGGCACGGTTAGATTTACAGCAGTAACAAAACCTAACCTCCTCATTGTTGCATTGTTATGGTATCCTCATGAGACAGGCGTTTGTATGGAAAGGAGTTATATGGGATAACACCATGTTGTATGGCAGAGCAGAAAGGTACCAGTAAGGTTTCTCATACCACCATTGTGTGTATAATGAACTACTCAATTCTGCTCAGGTTTCAGGCCTGCCTAAAAGTCGATAGCTATTTTTAATTTTTGAAAAGATGGGATTTACACTGGGGAGAGATCTGTGCAAGACGGAGGGGGTTCTGATGGACAAACTTGTGGACCCAGTCCCCTTTGTGTTACAGCCAGAGGTAGGAAGGAGACCTAGGACATCAGCAGTCGGCCTAAGCTTGCTGCCATCAACAACGAACGAGCACTGCCCCGGTTGCATTGGGAATAGGAAAAACTTCTTTGGCTGAACCTGTAAACTACCAGATTCCCCAAAGGAACAAAGTTTCAGAGAGGCTATCCCACTGGAGAAGGACAAGCGGCAGCTCTTTGCCTCGTTACCCACTATAGGCTTGGAAACATTAAGTTGCTTAGCCACTGTACAGGCCAGCCGTGTCTTTTGTACTTGTCTGTTCTCAGTCTTACCTCAAAGATTATAACCACAAAAGAAGAGAAAGCCAACACACATACACACAGGCACACACAAAATGTTCACCTTCAGGTTTTCAATCACTACAGACAATGCAGCTGCCAGAAATAGCAGAGCTTCCACTTCCACTTTGTCTGACCAGTTCCCATGAAGATGCTCAGAGCCCACTGTTGGCATAATTCTTGCAAGACATTTTTGAATCTTGCTTTCTTGTTTGTTTTGAAAGATCCATCGGTGTTTGTTTTCACGCACCTTGCTACGTGTAGGTCTCTGGTAGCTGGTGATCATTGGGATTATGTGCAGTTTGGAAACGATGAAAATAACTCAGGTCATTATTCAAATAAGTTTTTCTTCCTTGGTAGAAGTTGTGGAAAGGAAATGAATGTGATTCTTTTCTTTTCTTTTTTTTTTTTTTTTTAAACGAGCAATTGTTTTGGCAGAGAGGGAGGAGCTCTAAAACATATTTTTTATTTTTTTCTGTTTTTGAAAGTTCATTTGATATGAGCAAAATATTTCTTTAGTATTTCTTCCTCTGGAAGGAAACTATATATATTTGTAATCTACAGATCAACGGCGACTTGAAATGTATTTTGTCTTCTTTTCTGTCTTTACCTTTCTTGTTTCAAAAATAAAATATGAAAGCCAAATTCCTTCCCGTGATAATCATCCAGGGGCTTGTGGTGAAGGTCAGTATGTGTATATATTAGAACAGAATTTGGCAACTGTTAAAATAAAAAAATCAGAGTATAATTTTGTTGTATGTGAAATTTCCACAAGGCAGATCCTCACTCTGAGGTTTCATGGTACGCCTTGCATCATTTCCTAGCTGTGAGGAAAGACATTGCTGCAATATTTCTATATATTTGATGAAAAATAAGAGTTATATTAGCATCGGTTTTATCTTTTTTGCTTTGCTTTAGTGAAGTGAGAAAAGGAGGAAGCTTCAGTGACACCAGGGGCTGGGTTCTGCCCTGTGCTGAGGCCAGACGGGTGCCTGAGTAGAGGACGGTCGGTGAGCCCATTGCAGCTCCCTGGTCCTTCGGTCTCATGAAGCGTGTGGAGCAGCTTGCTCTAATCACTGGTGGCTTCCAGAAGCCACACATGAATTGTGATAAGGGAGCTGGGTCTAGTCCCTCTCTGTCCCCAGCGGTCCTCCCCTCGGTGCGGCACCCCTCGTGCCCGGGGATGGCTGCAGCAGGGGCTGGCTCTGGAGCAGCTTGGCAGGATGGACAGATTTCCTGAGCTCCTTTGTGCCGTTCAGACTGCTCAAAGGAGCTTAGAGCATGTGAGAGAGCCTGGCTTGCCTTCTTCCCCGGCAGCCGGAGTAGGATGCTATGATCAGAGCGAGCCTGTTGTGCCTCTGGGAAGCTGCCTGCACTGTGTGCACGGTAGGATGAAAATAAACCCCAGCGCTAGAAATAGGACAGGAGCTGGCTGTATGTAGTGCCTTTAATATTCAAGGTGTCCCAAAGCGCTGCACACATAATGCATTAGATACTGGCGATGTATTGTATTTGTAGATAACAGAGCATGTATATTGTTTTCTGCAATGGCTCACACACAGCCAGGAATATCAGAAGTTGGTTCACTGAGGGAAGGAATTTGGGGCCAGGATGCTGCAGCATTATTTCTTACCCCTTTTCAAGTGCCATGGGATTCTTGATTTTGGACAGCCACCAGAAGCGGGCAGACTCTGCAGCAGTCAAAGCTGACACGTACGTATTGAATCTCTTGAGCACTTGGGGTCTCGCTTAGTACAGTATCGTCGTGTCTGCACTGTTCAGGGCCCAAATTTTAGTGTGCAGCTGTGAACCCACTTAAATTACATGTAAAACATTTTGATTTACTAAAAGTGTTCTGTGGCTGTGTTTATTTATGTGTGTATATTACTATATATATGTATATTTATAAATATCAGTATGCATATATATAGACTCACACACACATACGCGCACACACATTTAGAACTGTGCCATTTGAATGACAAAGTACATAAGGATGCTCAGCTACTGGGGTTGCTGGACTGACAAAATGTCATTTTCCATTTTACTTTGTTATTAAAGGAGACCCTTTTCAATAGAACTGAGGAACTCCTGAATTGTTCCATTGTACTGGTTTTACTATCTCATTTTGGAGTTGAATGGAGGGAAAGGAAATATTTATAATGTTGATAAAATAAACTTACTTTTGTTATTTAATAACATCAGTTACTCTTATTATTTCATGTTTCAATGCTAGAGGTATCTTTATGTGTTATCCAAGACATGACGGGTGTCATGCAATTCTCACTAATTATAGCATCCCTCAATATCGTGAGGCGTGAGGCTGAGCGACTCATGTAAGACAGGCGTTCAAGGCGACTTTTGCCCATCACAAAATGGGCCTCGGACTCCAGTGGCTCTTTCACCGCTTCATGTGCTGGCTTGTCTGTGTTTTAGCACTTTTAGATGCCTGTAGATGTTTTTACTGACACCTGTCACCCTTGTTCTTCCCCAGCAGTAGCAGAATTGCTCAGTCTCAACTCGTGGTGCAGTAGCCAGGATTCGGACTACATGAGATGTCCCCTGCTACGTGAGGACTGTCATACAGAAGCACCAGAGGCATAAAGGAAATAGAACAAAGTTGATGCTTTGTTGCCATTGATCTTCCCAGTTATATTTGCAGAGCTGGTGGTGTTGTGGATGAAAAGATGGGGCACATGTTTTTTCTGGTGGTGTGGCCATGGGAGATTTGTTTGAATAGTATCTAATGACCTCTCTTGCTCATTTTTGTCTTTGTCTTTGCTGTGACAGTGACATGCATGGTGGTGTAAGTCACTAACGCACAACCTCACCTAGAAGGTGGCTACTTTCCTCTCAGCCATCCCAGGTGCATCCTGTGGGGTGTGCTTCTGTGTTGACCCTTCCAGTGTATCAAAAGCATGTTGAGGTGATCTGACTCTGGGCAAAAGCTATGAAATGGGCAAGGTACATTAGTAGCCTTAAGCTTGATGGGGTTTTAATGGTACTCAAGAAACATATGGATGTGCTGGGAATTTGGATGCCTTGAAAACACTCCCAGGGACAATTCTGTCCTTGCGCTCCATGTACACCAAGAAGGAAGCAGTTCCTTGTGCTGATCCATTTGAGGTCTGTATTTTCTTCCCTCACTTTTTTACTTCTTTTGCACCAGGCTAACATTTATGGAGAAGTATTTTACGAGAGTGGTGTTTAAGCTTGTTGAAAGTAATGTTTTTATTGCCATTATATCTATTCTTTTCCATTCATCAGACTTTATTTCATCTCTTTTCTTTCCTCACTGAATCTGAGCCAAAGCGACATTGAGTTATTAGCTTCCTAATTAATCTAAAGCATCAAATGTGCATATCTTCAGTCATTTCAGCAGTCCTGGAAACAGCTTATCGTATATCTGTGCCTTCCTGGATACCTGTGAAGCTATAGGACACAGTATTACAGGGTTTGCTGTGGTACTCATCTTTTCATTTTGCTTTCTTAACAACAATGTAGGCAACTATTTTTCTTAGTAATGGATAGCTACAGCTTTAAAATCCCATGAGCTGCCTGCCAAAATCTGTTGATTGCAACGGCAACTCAGTAATGTGCTAAAAGTGACTTGCTAGCATATTGATGAAGACCAGAATTTAATGTGGAGTATGTGTCTCAAGCTTCAGTGCTTTAACTCCCTCTGGAAGTGCAGGATGCAG